AGGAATTCAGATGGCTCCAGGCATTGCCATAGCAACTGTACCTTTCCGAAGCTGTCACGGGCTACAGGAGCAGGGTGTAAGCAATGCAGAAGAGGGGGAGTCTGCTGGTAGAAAAAGCACACCCAGCAGAGGAGAGGGCTGTGACAATAAATGGAACCTCAGCATGCCTGGGATTTACGAACCTGAGCTTGGTGGGACCTCGACTCCCTCAAGACCCAGGATGCATCTGGGACCTCTCCAGGGGTCTTCACAGCTACAAATCAGCACCAGCCCACGGGGCCCACGATGCTGACACTATATGTCAGTTCTCTCAAAAGATCCTCTGCCTAGATTAAAGTAGGCTGGCTCCTGAATGGTCACAGAGCAATTAAGAAGTGAGTACCCACTATAGGATGACCACCTGTGTCCCATTCCGGGTCAGGGTTGAGGAAAGGGACCCAGCTTCAAGCTTTTGATATGGGTTTGCATTCTAAAGCAGATGCAAAGCAGTCAGGAGGCACCTCAGGGGCCTGAGATTCTGGTAGATATTCTAGCTCAAAAAGAAATCAACTGTAGAGAATTTATTTAAAAAATGGACCACCCGGCACCTGAGTCGTCCCTGTGGCTCTCTCCAGTCCCCTTACCACCCTTAGGTGCTGGTAAACAGTGGGAGGTTGGGAGTTTGGAGCCTCTCCTGTGTTTGAAGACGTTGATGCTACTCCTTGGCAGAGGCCGGCAGAGAGTCAGCCCCGTGGGGCTAGGTAGGGCCCAGGGGACATTCGCACATGCATCTCACCTGGCCCGAGCACCTGGCTGCTTTGAAGCCACTGGTGCTTTTAATCTGACCGTTCGTCTGAATCTTTCTGCCCTTTAAGAAGAAAGCAGTTCATGGGAGGAACCAGGAGGCGGGGATTCTGCCCTGTCCTCAGGGGCACAGCCTACAAAGTGAGAAGTCAGGGCTGTGGGGGAAGCCGTCACCCAACAGCGTCATCTGTGAGGCCCCGGCCCAGCCCTTCCCCACCTGATCTCCCCATTGGTTGGCACTGAGTGTCCCCCCAGAACCTTCCGTTTGCTTACTACCCCCTTGCCCCTGCTGGCCCTCCAGGCAAGCTGGGATCCCCGTTTCCTGAGCGCGGGGGAGCACTTTTACACCAGAGAAACGTGCGGGTTCTCTTTCACCAGAGCCGCTGCGGCCTCCCCGGGGCCTCCGCTCACTGCTGGGCAGTATGGGCTCGGCAGGCAGTGTGGGAGCCGCTGCGGGCGGCAGGCTCTCCCCCAGGTGCAGGGGCTTCTCCTGAGGCCCAGAAGGGGAGTGTTCTTTTTTACACCTTGGGGGAAACCAGCTCCCTGGCTCCCATTCTCCTTCCTGCTCCCATACATCTGGAGTGTTCCAAGCTGCGCCTGACCCTCATGCCTCGTCTTAAGACAATGTAGAGCCGGGCATGGTCCCCCTGCAGGAGGCTTGACTGCCTTCAGGAATGGGAGTCACCGAGGGAGGAGGGTGCATGGAGGGGAGGATGGAGAGCGCACCATCCCGCTGCGTCACCCTGACTGCTCCCTCACGAGGCTTCCGCGTGACTCTCCGAGCACGGCCATGGGGTGAGCCCACGGCCTCTGCACAGATAGCGGGCAGGGGTCTGCAGGGGCGTGTGTGTTGGGGATGATGCGAGAGCCAGCTGTGGAGCCTCTCACTTCATTCCAGTCACTGCCCTTTATAAATATTTATAGCAGTCCTGCTACTAAAAATAACATCCTGGAGCCCAGGGAGGAGGAAAAAATAAATGAAAATCACTGGGAATTGGGATTGATTATCATGTGTGCGGGAGCAGAATGGAACCCGGAGAGGGGAGAGGCTGGGCCACCGCGGCACCGGTCCCTGGACGGTGCTCCCTCTGGTGGCCACGGGTCAGTGCGCCTGGCCTGGCTACTCTCCTGCCCTGGCTGGAGGAGGAGGAAGAGAAGAGGGAGGGGGGGGAG